AAAATGTTTGAAATTTTGCACATGAATCCGTTTTTCCCTCTTGATTCAAAAAGTCAATAGGGTCCAAGGCTTATTTTTTACCCTGTTGCCGTGGCGACGAGAAACGCTCCCCATTCATTGCAAATGTACACCTCACACAAACATCAAACCAGCCTCGGCCGTTTCACTGATTCGCCTCAAAATCGCTCCACATCATCTCAACAAATGTACCTTCAAACTGACTTCAGGGAATTTTGATCCGTTAAACGTTGTTTGAGCAGCGGAGCGGCAAAATGTGAGGTTTTTTTTTGCTCTTTTTGACAACATTAATTTTGCTCCTGTTTGCACAAACAAAGTCTGATTTGCACAAAACTTTAATCCATTGTTCAATTCCAGGGTTTAGGTCAGGTTAAAGTGAAATATTGGAAATTGGCCCATTAGCGCCCCCTACAGACTGTGTCAAAGTTTACATGGGGAGCCAAACCAGCTCTACTTATCATATTCATTACAATTTGACTAAGTTCTTCTATGGCTACGGAAACAAATCATCACACGGCGGTGCCACCTCCTTTTAGCGGTGCTGCGTGGTACGGTGTGGAGCGGCGCATTGCGGCTTGGTGCGGGGCGGCGTGGTGCGGGACGGCATGGTGCAGGGCGGCTTGGTGCAGGGCGGCTTGGTGCGGGGCGGCTTGGTGCGGGGCGGCGTGGTGCGGGGAGTGCGCGCGGTGCAGGGAGTCGCGCGGTGCGGCGAGGGCCGTTCGACGCCGCTTGCGGCTTTAATTCTCCTTTCTTTTTCTTCCTGAAATTTGGTGACTTTTCCTCATCTAGGGTCATGAACTGGTGTGTAAAATCTGGACACCTTGATGTGTAGTGGAATGTCTGTGCAGAGTTTGTATACAAAGATGATGTTGCGGGTCATTTTGACCCTGACGCTTTAATGTGGGTAAATAGTTGTTCAGATCCAAAAAAACATGTCTCTTTGACATTTTATTTTGATTACCTCTGAGAGCCAGGTGTGTGAAGAGAGGGAACTTTCTCACACTTGTCCTTGTCACTGTGTCATCTCTTTTGCCTAGCGTACATCGGACTGGCAACTGAATATATCCGTCGCCTTTGAGTTGCTGCCCCGTACACATCGACAATCTGGCGAAAACGGGAAACTCCTAGTAGCAGGCCAGTCTCGGGAATAACAGCGCGTACATCGACAGCAACTGGCCTCACCTACAGTGTGTTTTCTGACATAAACTGTAGAGGGCGCAATACACGCAATACACACGTTGTTGGAGCGCGCCACGGAGCGTGCACATTGGGTGATATCTCCGGATCTGAGGACAACTAGTTGCCGAAAAGAACACGGGCAACTGACTGAATCCGGAGATCGACTGTTTATCTCCAGTTGTAAGAGCGCTCACATCGACCGATTTTGGCAACTGATCATCTCCATCATCTACTCTCAGTTGCCAAAAGCCGTCTTGCAACTAGTTAGGCAATGCTTGGCTTTAGACAAACTCACCAAAAATGAGCTCCAGAAGGATGACATCTGAGGAGGCTTTATCACAGATTTTTAACTGGGATAATGATGTAGAGGAAGAGATTTCAGAAATAGAGGATTTTTCAGAGACAGGACAATGTTATTGCTGATCCAGATTGTCAATTTTCTTACGATAAGGAGGATTCAGAGGACAAATCTTTGGCCAAGGAAAGAGGAAGGGAGGACAGAAGGAAGGTAGGAAGGAAAGAAGGGAGAAAGGAAGGAAGGAAGGAAAAGAAAAGAAGGGAATAGAGAAGGATGAACAGAGAGAAGGAAAACAGGATAAGAAAAAGGAAGGAGAAAGCATGGCAGGAGGAAAGAGAGAGGGAAGAATTGTCCTTTTGACCCGAGAGGAGGACAAGAAGATTAGACTAAATCGGCACGGTGGCTGAGTGGATAGCACTCTCGCCTCTCAGCAAGAAGGTCCTGGGTTCGAATCCCGGTTGGACCAGGGCCTTTCTGAGTGGAGTTTGCATGTTCTCCCCGCGTCTGCGTAGGTTTCCTCCGGGTGCTCTGGTTTCCCCTACCACTAAAAATATGTACAATAGGTCTGGCACGTGCCTCCTGTACTGGCACCCCCACTCCCAAAAATAACAATTGTAAACCGCTTTGAGACTCCGATGTGCAGTGAAAAAGCGGTATATAAATAAAGATTACTACTACTACTACTACTACTACTACTACTACTACTACTACTACTACTACTACTACTACTACTACTACTACTACTACTACTACTACTACTACTACTACTACTACTACTACTACTAAATATGTCTTAAATATATTGTTGGAATAAAAACATGTATTGTATGTTACTTTTCTAAATATTTATATGACCTAAAATAAAGTTGTTATTGGTTTAACCTGTTTTCTTGACTGTTTTGAGTGCATTTACACAGTACGGGTCAAAATGACCCGCAACATAATCAATGTAATTTTTTTTCAACATAATACAAGGGTTAAATGCTAGGTGTTACATGAGCAGTGATGGAGTAAAAGGCATTTACTTGATGAAAGTGAAGAGGGATGTGGGCCAAAGTCGGTTAGTGCAACATTTCACCCATGAGCACTTGCCTATTAGGCTTCAGTTCCTGGGGGGGTTAACCCAATCTTACAGTCTATGATTTCACCACAAACATGAACTGTAGAAAAAATAAAAAACCTCATCCTGTGGAGTTGGACCCTTGGGCACTGCTCCTGACAGATTGCCCCAGGGTCAGATGCAAATTGTGATTATACCCTTAAACAATTGCAGATCAGAGAAAAATACAGTGCACATAAGATATAACAATCTAAAATAATAAAAGTAAAGTTTAGAATAAGGTCAAAAAGAAATAGCCTTAAAACAAACCTAGTCATATCCACAACTCTCCAATACGTACAGGTCACGGGTCATAAGCGCATGAGACAATTTCAAGACAGACAAAAATAATTTAACTCAGCCAAGCTTGCATGACTCAGACTTTCCCGCTGAGCTGTAAAAATTCATTAGAATGTTCACTAATTGGCCTGACCGAGTAGCAAAAAAAACAGGTGGTAAAGTAACGGAATCCCTCTGTAGTATAATACTGAAATTAAGCCTCTGAAAAACGCACCTTTAAAAAAAAAATTCCAATCTTTTCCCTCATTTAACTTCCTTTCAAACTTGAGCGAATCCCATGGCAAAAAATCAGCAAGCCAATTAAGAGGACAGTAAAAGGAGGATTAGCCTGTAGCCTGTCCATCGTACTCCGCTGCCCCCTGCCAATTCATTCAGCGGGAAGTGCTTTTATAATTCACACTGCACACAGAAGCTGAGGGGGCTCGACTGTGTGACTGTGGTGACTGACAGTGTCCCATGTTAAGGTCAAGTGCAGCAATCACAGACAGGCCAGTTATTAAATGGCTCTGAGAGGACAGACTTATACACCCCATTACAAAAAGAGTGGAAATGGGGTTGAAAGGACACAGGTTACGTTAAAATTAACTTTAGTCCTCAGTTCCTTCTTCAAGGCTAAAGCTCAAATAGGAAAATGACAAGCATTTGTTCATTGTACTGATAAATAAAGTGCAGTGAACAAAGGCAAAGGTTAGTGGAACACATAAGCGGTGCTAGAGTAACTATTTTTGCTAAAAAACTTGTGCTATCAAAACGACAGGAGCTAAAACTACAGCTGGGAAAAAATTAAAGCAAATATTTCTGCAACATTGCCCTAAATGATTGCATTCAGCCCCACCCAAACAAACTGCAAACAGCATGGATGTCAAGCTCAAAAATATAGAAGAGAGCATTTTTAAGCGGGTGGGTGGAGAGGTCCTTCCTCAAGTGGAGGAGTTCAAGTATCTCGGGGTCTTGTTCACGAGTGAGGGAAGGATGGAGCGTGAGATTGACAGGCGGATCGGTGCAGCGGGCGCAGTGATGCGGTCGCCTTGGGGTCCCCCCGGACGAGCTGGAGGAAGTGTGTGTGGATAGGGAAGTCTGGGCGACTCTGCTTAGACTGCTGCCCCCGCGACCCGGCAACGGATGAAGCGGAAGAAAATGGAATGGAAAAAAATGGAATAGAATGGCATTTTTAAGCATTAATAAGAAAGCAAATAATGCAAGTTATGTGTAGATTGAAATAATGGTCAACCGTGAGGGATAAGTGATGGGTCAATATTGGTAAAAGTAATTGCATATTGTGTAATGACAAATAACAAGCTTCACAAGAGCTACTTTTTCAGAAACCCATCACATTGGATATTTAAATCAGACTGATAGTTTTCATAATGCTATTCCATCTGAAATATTTCTATTTTTTATTTAAACTATGGAAAGTAAATTGGGACTACCTTAAATATTGAAATGATATTTCAAACAGATGAAAATGAGCAGACCGAGGCCTGTCCCTTTAGTAAACAAATACATACATACAGCAACAGTGAACTTATTGGTTTGTGAGGCACTGACTTCATCATTAATAGATTTATATCCATATGAACATGACCTACGGAGCGGCTTATTCACCATTTGTTTGACAACCACAGAATATGTTTCATGTCAGGTTTATGGTCTTACCTTATAAATGAAGCCCATATACCACTTTTGTTTGTAGTATTACACAGCAATTCTAAAACAAACAGGTAGTCTCTCTTGTGTTCAGTAAGCTGTCTGCAGCCGACTCTTGGGTGCACCCAATTTTATAATAAACCTTTTTATCCTGCCCATCCTCATCATCCCATTGACATTTGAAGCATAACATTTGAGGAGGACGAAAGGAGACTTTTTGGTGGATTCAGATGCAGTGCTTTTTTTAAGCCGTGTTTTTGCACAAAAAAGAACCACATTTGTTGTTAAAAACAAAACAAAAACAGCACGATCACACTGCACAGCATTCCCAGCACTGACAGCTGCTCAGTCAAGAATGAGAAATTAATGTATTATTATTTCCATTTTTTTTCTTTCCATGATTGAAGTAAAGAACTAGAAAAGTTTTTGTTTTGATGACATTTATTTAACTTCATTTACCTGTCGGGTGCTCCTGAACGTGTACATGTGGTAGAGGATGGGGATGAGTTTGCGCTCATGAGCGGGATTCAAGATGTCGCTGTTAATTTTGAGGTTATTCACCATCAGATCCACCAGGTACGTGCCCAGCTCTACAGTCACTATGAAGGGCCAGTTTGTCTCTGTTCCCCTGAGAGTGGGACCGTCCGAGTGCACTGCCTCCAGCTCACACCAGCACTCTCTAGGAAGGACTGGGTAAACCTACACAAAAACACAGACACAAAGTGGCAATTTAATATAAACAGACCAGTTTCTCTCAAGTTGATGCAATAATCCAACTAAAAGACACATTGTGACAATAAACATGTTTTTTATTTTTGTTTACTGCATTTGACGGTCCCTTGAAAGAGCCTGCCTCTCCATATTGGGAACTGCCTTCACAGAGGATGTTGTAACTTGAGGTAAGACAATTGTCTTTGTTTTACACAATTTAAGATAGGAAGCATTACATTTATAGACATTGGTCATCTGCCCTTGCCCAATGTGTTTTTACATTTCCTGTGTTAGGAAAAATCCAACATAATGACAACATACCTTTCAAATAATACAAGAAGAACAGGTACAGATAAAAATAATTGTTCTTAATCTGCATTTGAGCATTATCATTGGAAGTGTCTGTAAATTGTTAGAGTTGGGTAGCGGATTGGCCTTTTGTTTACATGAAGATGGTGCTTCAGGGGGTTGAAAACGCAAGCGTTGAGAAACAGCCACAAGAGTGGAACAGAACAGATACGCTGTACAGCGGGAGCAGAGCAGCGTAGAAGACAAAGGTGTGAATTTTCTGGATAAAATGACCTCAGCACTTCCCTGCACGTACATTTGGACATGTGCAGTAGCCGAGAACAAACGTAAACAACAATGGCGGCGGATCAACTAATTCTACGTATGCTTCGGGCGCTACACGAAAGAGAATTCTACTCCTTCGCCAAACAAACCCATGCAAAGCTGTAGTTTCAGTTTCTGTTTTTGCTGCTACCGTTAAATGCAGAATAATGTTGGTGCATTCTTTAGCGTCTTTGCCGTGGCCTGAGGAGGATGTTGTTGAGGAAGTGGTTATACTCCTGGGGGTCCCATGTGTCGTGTTGTAAAGTTCCACTGCCCTCTATTGGCTGGGCTCTAGAAATACATTGTTTTCTGTCGTTGTGTAAACGCTGTGCACCAGAAAAAACACACTGGCTAAACTGTTTATCGACCGAACAGTTGTTTTTTGTCTGTGTAATGAATGTACATTTCTTTCTCCAAGTGAAGCATGTAAACAGTTTAGTTTACTCTGAGGTCAACACTGGTGCAACATCTAAACAAGAGTAGGAACAAGAGAAAGGCTTTTTAGCACGATATGCAAATGAATAACTATAATTAAACTTTATGGTCATCACTTCACAAGCTCCCTTTTCAGAACAAAGAGATGCATGTTAAGAAGCTTTGAAACAACACAATCTCTAACTACAGGTAGGGAGCCACTGAACATAACGAGCGCCGCCTCATTATATTAAACAAGCAGCTTTTCCCTAGAGTGCAGCGGCGTCAAAACAAAACCGCATCCTGAGTCAGCTGCTACAGCCCATTGAGAAACACCAGATGGATTAGCCACTGCAATATCATCTGATATTTGTCAAATTTTCCAAATCACTTTTAGTAGCACTCAAAAAAGGGATGTATTCATTGTATTTGCCAAGAACTCAACGAGGAATGATGTCGATTCTTTTTGTTTCACCAACTTTGAAAAACATTTTAATTCCTTGAAGGATATGAAGTTAATTAGTTTGAATGTCTTAAAAACAATATGATTGAGTATTTTTTTTTTCTTTCAAGCAAAATGATAGTGCTCTTGGATAAATACTACACTTTTTTCCCTTTTATGCCTGAAAATAGGACCTAGGCCAGGGGTGCTCAATACGTCGATCGCGATCTACCAGTCGATCGCGATCTACCAGTCGATCGCAAAGGTAGTATTGGAAGATCGCATTACATAATTTTTAAAAAAAAATCCGTTTATACATTTGCGTGTGGACAGAGATAACCGGAGTTTTGCGTTTTTGCACGGCACAGTTTGCCCCCAAAACAACAAAAAAAAAAAAAACGTGCGACCTCTGATCACTAAAGCATGGATCATACTGCCTTAACAGCGGTTCACAGCAGCGATCCTCGCTCCACATCAGAGAGCAGCAAAGTGATCACACACACTCGAAAACAACCAAAACAGGAGCTAAACCAGGATCAAACCAGGGCTGAGGACTGGGGTCAATGCTTGTAAACATATGTCTTCACCATGGATCTATAATAACACGTCTTCACCCTGAGTTTCTACTATGACAGTGCCGCTACAGAACGAAAGTTACGAATGTAACTATGGTTCTATGAATCCTAGATGACCGCCAGAGGCGGTGCTTAAAATTTGTAAATTTCTCCTCTGTGAGATAAATAAAGCAATCTTATCTTAAATGCAAATTATTTCATAAATCATGCGGTTTTGCATGTACATCAACATACATTGTAGATATAAAGAATCCTCAATATATTTAGAAATATATATATGTTTTGCATTTTTATAGTAGGTAGATCATTTTGACTTGATCATTTTATAAGTAGCTCGCATGCTGAAAAAGTGGGAGCACCCCTGACTTGGGCAATACAGAAATACATGTATATGAAAACATGTTTAGACTATTTTTTTTCCTAATACAGTTGTATTGAGGTACAGTGAAGTCCCAAATTCGGAAGGTTTAGGAAGAGCTAATTTACTTACCACAGGGCCTTTAGTATTTCTGGCATGATAAACCTCACAGTAGTGCTGTCAGTTTAACGGCAACATTAAAGCTGCACTAATTGACTTTGACAAGTTTTCGAATGAGAACGCTGAGCACGCGCTCTCTGCTCGCCCTCCCCGCACGGAGCTTTCGCCCCCCACTACCCCCCTCAGCCTCTGCTCATGCTAACTGTTTACGGAGCTCACGTCTCACAATATTGATCGCACATTTGAACGTGGATGGCATAGAATGATAGAACCGGGAAGCGCGGAGGAATGAGACTTTCTCTTGGATGGCTGTTCCGCTGTGTAAGCAGAAACCGGTAACAAAGACACGGGAAGTTTCAGGTTAGCTCCGCCGCTTGTTTACCTCAGCTGTCTGTGCTAACCACAGACCCATGGCTTTTCTCAAGAAAGTGGGGGCCAGTGGTCTGCTGTGATTGGTCACAATCTGGACCCAAGATAAATTCTCTTCCTTGTTGCACAAAAACTTGATCTAAAATAAAATTACACGCCAGCACAAATTTGCGCTACTTTATCTTCAAAAGGACGTATATCCCAATGCACTGCATGGATATGGATTGAATTTTCATAATGAATACAAAAAAAAGTCAGTTAGTGCAGCTTTAATGCGGACCTCTTTAACGGCGTTAATTTTTATTGCAATGCAATTATTGCTATTAAATATTTTAATCGGACAGCATTACTTAAGTCTTTCTCTTTCTGTGAGTTTTATATTCCCATTTCATGTAATGCCTATTCTAAATTAATCTTTTCAAAAGCAAACAGCCCCATCATCCCTTCCTTCTCACCTCTGTGTCTTGGGCCAAAATGTCCGCGTAGGAACTGTAGATGCTGCTCATCTTGTCCATCATGTGGTTCTGCTGCTTCTGCCGCACGGAGTACTTGGTGTAGATTCTGCTGCCGAGGTCTCGAGCCATGATCTTGAGCGACTCGCCACTGGGCGGCATGTTGGCAACACTCTGCACAGAGATGTGAGGTGCAAGAAATTACAGATTTGTCAGAATTTTTAAATCTTTGTCCTGTATACCCTTCACATTCTCGATAGGAGAGTTTTTTCCCTTTTTTTCTGTCATTATTTTGGCTAGTTTTTGTGTGCTTTTGTAAGTTTTATTTTATGCATTATAAGGAGAAATATATCTGAACATATGAAGAAATCTAGGGCCGCATAATTAACAAATATTTTGCTAATCGATGTTTGGATCCTGAAAGGTCGGAGAATGTGCTTTTTTATACATTTGACCAAAACAAAGCTCAAGTGTTGCCCCCGGAGAACCTCTTCATAGAGATGACTTGTTAACCATTGTTTGATTGAATTACTTAGTCATATAATTAGTTTACATTTAAATAATGGGTTAGCTACAATTAATTGATTGGCTCGTTACAGCTGCAAAGACAAACAAACGCACATGTCCCATCAAAAGTGTCAAACCCGACTGCATTCAGACAGCCTTTTTCAATGTGATGGCATTTCAAAATAATAAATGGTCTGTGACTGCCTCAAACACCGGGTCCTTTTCACTTTGCCAGAAAATACTCCAAAAAACTGTCACACCCTGTTTCTCATGTCACCTGTCGATTGTAGGTAAGAACAGTGCGAGTTGCCACATGTGACTGATGCCTGTCAAATGCCACGCTGCAGTGCACAGCGCAGAGCTTATTGCACCACAGTGTCATGATCACTCTATAGCAGACAACTTGCCATGTCTTACACCTGTGGACTGCCCTGCCCGACCCGCCTGGGAGTTCTTCAATCCTGCACCGGACCTGTCCACGTTCAACGGCCGCTGGTCCACGTTCTGTAGCTTAGGTCCTGGATCTATAGCCCGTCAGTCCGTGTAGGAGCGGATCCCTTTCTCAAACCATGGGTCTCCTCGAGGTTTCTCACTTTTCCCCACTGGGTTTTCTTATGAGTTTATTGTTGCCGATGCAGGAGGGTCTGTTGGACAGTTAGTGTCCAACTAGAAGGACTGAGGATCCAGGACACTTTAACATTCTACAACATGTATGACATTTATCAACATGTGTTCTATAATGTTTAAGTGTTTTAACTGTTGAATTAGGGCTATACAAGAATAAATTGTATTGTCTTCTTTAATGCCAAATCTCTAGCGAGCAACGTGCGCAAGATTGTGAACAAACACACCAGTGCTTAAGAAAATTTGAGATGACCAGTCCAGAGGTTCAGACCTAGTTGCAGGTACAAAAGACTTAAATGCTTCTTTGTTCCAGTTGCTATGATTATGCTTTATATTTATGTGCAGGAGAACATCAGAAAATTGTTCAAATTCAGTACAATATGAAACTATTATAGACTTATTACATGCAAAGTGAGATATGTCAGGCCTTTATTTTTTATGTTGATATTTAGCTCACAGCTTGTAAAAGAAATTACAAGCTAGAAATTATAATATTCTGAAAATGAACTGCAAACCATACTCATCCAAATTATAACTTGTCTTGCGAGGTCTAACTAAAAGGACAGAGGCGATGATCCAGGACACTCAACATTCAATAATATTTATGGACATTTATCAACACTTATGGACCAATACCAACTTTCTGTTCTATTTCTTGTGTTTGAACGGTTTGATTCTTAGATCTATGTTGCCGAATTCAACGGTTTTGTGAAGTCCTCCGAGATAACTACTGCTGTGATTCAGGGATATACGACGACAAATTGAATTGATAGTTTTGGAAGATTCATCTCGTCTTTTTAGTAGAATTATAAGTACTGGGTTCTTCTATACCAGACAATATAAGGTTTTGTGATGTTATTACCTTGACCTTTGAATTGAATTGAACTTCAACTTTTAAACATTAGTTTATATTCTAATTGTCAGAGTTTCACCAGTATTTGAAGCAGCACTACCATTTACCCAAGACATTTTTTAAAGTCCAGGCAGAGAATAATGTAGTTACCTGCACCATGATGTCTGCATACTCGCTGTCGTCCAGGAGGCACAGGTAGGGATAGAGGTTGAGCCTGTAGTCCTTGGAGTTGGTGTTGGAGAGGATAAGCTTGCTCTCCTTGAAAGCCTGGACCAGGGTTTTGTGCCAAAGTGTCCTCTGCTCTGACAGCAACTTCCTCTGAACGCACAAATGAACAACTGAAATGAACAACTACAAAGTACACTCACTACGACAATCTTATCCATTGGGCAACTTTATTGGCTTTTTCTAGTGGCGCTAGACCGGAGGAAAAGTGCACAGACACGGGAAGAACATGCAAACTCTACTCAGAAAGGCCCTGGAATTGAAGCCATGATGTTCTTGCCAAGAAGCGAAAGTGTCGTCGCTCAAACCACATTTGATCAAGTTTAGGAGAATTTCAAATCAAACAAACATGTTCAGATTCACTCAAGTATAATCTTATAGTAACGTTTTCAGAATTTTAATGATTTGTCTTGATTTTTGTAAAAATGGGGGAAAAGTACATTAAAATTAGTACAATCTTAATCTTAAAAACAGTGGTAACCGTTTAATCTGCCCTGCACACATTAGGTACACTGTTTTTTACCCTGCATTTAACCATTATATACACAATGACATTCATACTAGCCCATTGTACAGGTGAAGTCTTTCAGTACAGTCTTTCAGTGCCAGACTTTACAATGCATGATTATTATTCTCCTGCGTCTGTCTATAAATGCTCACGACCACCATCTGCAGAGAGCATCAAGGCCAGCTCCAAATGCCAGCTTTGGAAGAGAGCCGCAATATTATCAAATGTTCACTTTTGTCACGCAAGAGAACCATTAATGCGCAAAATGTACACTCTCTTACCACAATGCATCAGCATTTGGCAACTTTTCCTATAGAAAGCAAAGGAAGGTTTCTCACCCATCATTTGTACTTCTTAGCAGGTTTTCCCAACGTTTCGTCCTTAAGCCAAAGAACTTTTTTAACATTAAGGACGAAATGTCGGGAAAACCTGCTGAGAAGTACAGATGATGGATGAGAAACCTTCCTTTGCTTTGACTAATCCCTGTACGACTGAGAGCTCACACAAACTTTTCCAAAAGAAAAAAAGAGACAAAAAAATTTAAATACATTATTTAGCCATAGCATTAATGCTAATGGTGACATCATATAGAGGCAAATATGAATCATCTGTCCCCCCATTGCGTCATATGCTCAAAGAAAGGGTTGCAAGAATATTTATTTGTTATGTACGCTTATTTGACCTTTTCATAAAAATAAAAAAAACAGACTACATATGAATTAAAACGATCTCAAATAACACTAAAATGTTACACTACAACTGATTGCATGTTTTTTCACTTTAATTTAGTATGGCTTTGTCCTGCTTTCAGTTTATGTTAGGAGTACCTGAATGGAACGCCTGGATTAGCACTAGAACAAAGGAAAGTCAAAGTATTCAAATACAGGCATCTAACAAATGAAAAAATAGCATTGAACGAAGATGCTCATGTGATCGTTTGAAAGTAAAATGTTATGAACATAAGCGACCATGCAGTATTCGACTATATTAGTAGTATATATAATTCAAGTACTTTTTTCGGATGAAATCAGAGTGTATATTAAAACAATAAAAGGCTTGAACTAATATAGTTGTGTGTAATTAATCTAAAATATATGAAAGTCTACTGTTTATCAGTACATTACAGAAAATAATGAATTTTATCTCAATATGCTAAGTTTTTTAGAAGGACCTCTGTATGCATGGCCTATGTTAGTTTTGCAACTGGTGACAACATCATTAGAAAGGAGTTAGAAGGACTAGAACTGTACCATGCGGTCCATCTTCTCGGTGACTGGCTTGGAAGCCTCTGTGGACTGGATGGTGACGGTGCAGGCCTGCTCCATGGCCAGCTGCCTGCGGAAGCGCTCCTGAAGCTCTGCTTTCGTGAAGTGCAGTTTGGGATAGCGATGCTCCGCCCTCTGGAGCACAGAGCACAAAATGGAGCATGGTTATGGCGTAACGTGCCATTGTTAGGTGAATGTTGAAATCCCATCATCAGGCATGGTTGTAAGTCAGGGTGGGTTCTATTGCACCCCCCATCAACCTTGAACTAGACATGAGGCTTGAATCAACACAAAAATACACTATCTTATTTATATATGCATTTGGATGTGACAGTGTATATTAATGAACAGCAGTGTCGTAAATACACCAGATTGTAGACTTGGGATAATTTTAATGTTTTGTCCCACAGTCACACTCACACTAAACTAACCGGAGCACCTGGAGGAAACCTACGCTGACACAATATCAACACAGAAAGGCCCGTCTGAAGGTGGGATCAAACCCAGGACCTTCTTGCTGTGAAGCATGAGTGCAAACCAATGCACCATAATGCTGCCCTTTTTTTGTGAGAAGACATTTTGCAGCACGTCAGTCGGTGACATCTGGGTGAAATGTCTGTTAGAAGCACGGCTGTCAAATAATATAGGACCAAGTGCATCTCCAGCGACAGTTGCAGCTTGATCAAACTGCATTATACAAACTGCATCCTAATACAGTTTCTCTCACAACAACTAATGTATTCTAATTAGCATCTTATCTGTTGTCTAGAGAGATCTGGCAGCCTTAGTCATCTTGAAGACCGGTTATTTGGACAGCCTTTCCCTATGCAAATAAATCAGCCAAAATGTTAGTTCACTGCGCAGTAGTTTCTCCAGTCTCTCCAATCACATGCATGAGTAATAGTGCAAGTATGCTTGACGTGATTTAGGCTGAACTTTATCTACAAAACACAAGCCCACTCCTTTCATTGCACCACCAGCCCAAGACCTACAAAAAGACAACTCCGAACGTGTCAGGTCCAAAGAATATGGAGTGTGTGATGAGGTTAAAAATAGCGCGATTGCACAAAAAGCTGTTAATGAATCATGTGAGATTGAATGTGGTGGGGGGCGGCGGAGAGCAGGGGGGAGAGGTGAGAGAAGACACTGGAAAGGAAAGCATGGGGGCCATTAGAAAGCAGGGCTGGCATACTATAAATAGGGCAGAGGCAGCGCGTGTCTGTGGCTGGCTGTGAAGGGGTGACAATCAAATCTTCAGAAGCCGTGTTGGAGCTTGCAGACGGCTTTCTCAAATCATGGCGTGGTGTAAAAACGCCAAACACGAGACCGAGTGAGGTGTCTTATATCTCCTCTTTTGACTCGTGGGGGTCATAGCTGCAAATAATCCGCATGACAACAAACACCACACAATTCTGGACGCTCTTGTTTTGTGTGAGTTTCTAGGTTGACTTAAGTTTAATCAAGTTCTGTGATGATTGTAATGTTCCATGATGCTCCTTGCTTCTTTCCTGAATGATTGAAGGAATATGAATCTTTGGTTTATTTTTTTCCTTTTATGCATTTTAGCAATACATTATTTATTTTTTGTGGGAAACTAGGATGGACAAGAGGTGAATTGAGCCCAATGCTTAATGTGAAATGCCTGAAATTAAATAAACTAACAAACAATTGACAACCGTAGTCTTCAACTGGACTGCACATACTCCAAAGGCTCTCCAGTTTCCACGCAAAGCACCATGTTACTAGCCTGGTCGTACCACACCATAGTACAAATTACATTTCATACTAAGGTCTGGAGGTGCTCCATTGACTCCGTTAACAGGTGGGAGGGGCTAACTCCTTTTGCAGATTGAAACGATTGGATCTGAGTTTACCGTGATGTATGTAGTGCACCCGAGTCTGTCGTTAGCATTTAGCATTTAGCCTAACCATCTCCTTTGCCGCTAACGGAGCCCGTGGAGAGTAGCGCCACAATTTTTCCAGCAATTACATTTGCTAAACATTCCTCTTGCTCCGGCTTCAATTTCTTGATAGAACCAGACCGGATTACTTTACTATTGCATTTTTTGCCATTGCCAAACTACAACCTTCCCGTTCGACGCAAACTCTTGACGTCACCCACAACTAACTACAACACCCGCCTTCCGCGCTCTCTGATTGGTTGGTCGAAATTCAACCGATTGTAATCGCTAACACAGAGACCAGACCCAGAGCAGACGTTACATGAAGTGAAATGATGATTGAACGGAGTGTACCGATGGATAAGGCCAGGCTAACATGTTACAGTAGTAATTGTTACACCAATTTGTAACAATATGGACATTTCTGACACACATATAAGCGCCCCATCTTGTTACTAGTGATAGTCAAGACAGTAGGGCTGAAACAACTAATCGATTAATCGACGACTAATCGATTATTGAAATAGTTGACAACTATTTTAGTAATCGATTAATCGTTTTCTGGTTCACACGGACTCAAACAGAGCAAAAATGACATGAAAATGTAGTATTTTTGATTAAAACCGACTTTGTTTTTATAATTTCATGAATATCTGTCTGTCTCATCCAATCAGAGCAGAATTATCACAAAGAGCCTGTTACAAACATTTACTTTAAGTTTACGCCATCAATACGTCCTCGAGTGTTGCCACTTTAGCTTTTTGTGATGAAAAAATTTATTTTTTCTACACAATTCACAGCCAAGCGATTACTCGATTAATCGTAAAAATAATCGATAGATTAATCGATTACAAAATAATCGTTAGTTGCAGCTCTACAAGACAGCACAACTTCTATAAAGGCAGGGTCTAGCATTGGTATGTGAATCTCTTTTCCAAAGGCATGCACTGGTTTAGTCCTGAGCGGACAGCCTTCATCGAGACATGCGACTGTCACAGTTCAATGCGTTTCAGCCGCATGATAACCGTTTATTCTGAAACCATGTATAGGAAAGGCAGATAATATGGATCAAATCTCTGTAGACTATCAGTGGTTCCCAAACATGGATCCGCACAGCGTTCATATTCTTAAGAGTTTATATTTCAAAAGAGGTATGAATCCTCCTGATTGAACAATACACATTTTTAAACCATTCATGGGAGTACTGTTGTTTATCGTTTCACATACTCCATTGCCTTGAGAAAGGTCTAGTGTTTAGGAGAGACATTTTGAAAGGACTCTTTAGCCTACAAGTAATTCTCAAATCCAAATAATGTCACTAATTCTTTCGTTCATCCTTCATGGAGCCAGACCTTCAACAGAATATAATCACTAGACTAGAGAAATAAACTATTGGACGTGCATTATTAAGGCCATTACCTGTGTGTAGAAGTCCTCCACCAGAGAGGAGTAGCGCAGGGCTTCTTCTGAGTGCAGCTTTGGCTGGTAATCAGGCTGCAGGACGTGGACAGACTTCAGCACCATATCTCTCTCATCTTGTCGAAACAGACACTGACTGAACAGATCATCCACAGAAAGGCCATCCTCCTCCATCCGCTTCAGGCACCTGCAAACACAAACAAGAGTTTTACATACTGTAAGTATTAAAGAAAGAAAACTGCAAAACTACTTTGTTTTTTTTACTTTTTTTTGGGAGAAACTAATTAACTGAAGTGCAAGAAGTCTATAAAACTAAATGTCTACAAATTAGGAAATTGTATGTGATTGAAAAATGACAATTGAGGCTTAATACTGCTGTCAATTGATTCAAAATAATAACATTAATCTCATGGAAAGTAGTAGCTGACATGCGATTCATAGTAAACTAATTGCACCTTTGTATCTATTGCTTCATCTCTGGCCCCTCTCGTGGTTACTTGCACTTCATAAAGTACAGATTATAGCTTTCACATTTAAAGGTTTTGAAATAAGTTTTAAGAATTTCAATTCATTTAACATGCACGCATAAAAGGAAAGAATGAATTAAATTAATGTTCAAATCTGAAAAGAGACGTTTGAGATCTGGAATTAGAGCTGTAAACTTTGTGCTGCCTTAAGAGTGAGGAGAGAGCTCCAAAACTAGACCCCACATACGTATCAAGCTCTTAAAAACACATGTGCAGAGCTGTGTCAGGGTTTTGTTCAACATGAAATGTTGATTTTTTTTTTAAAATACTTGGACAAATGTTTGTAGAGTTAAACGTGTTCTTTATTACTCGCCGGCTACTTTATTAAAACAGCTGTTATATGTTTGCATTATTTCCTCCATTTTCTTTCATGGTTAAGGCCAAAGCAGTAAAGCCATGCATCACAATCTAGTTCAATTTCCTGAATAAACAAGTGTTTGCTTTTGTTGACACTGCGTAGGCTGCAATGCACACTTTCAAACCACAAGAGGGCGCTGTATAACCCAGGTGTTACAATAAGGTGACACACTCATCAGGGCGTCATCACTAGAAAGGACCGTGGTTTCAAAACGAAACTTCCTGCGTGATGAGCACTCCTGGGCAAAAGAGGGATGGGTGACAGAGAGAGTGACACAGAGGAAGTAATTGGGAGAGAGGTTGTAAGGTCAGAGAGCGTTTGGACCTGTCTTGTCTGTGCGTGAGTGTCTTGTTTGGCGTCGTCTCAGGAATACTGTCAATGTATGTGATCTTTTGAATTGCCTCGTATGGTTTTGTCTTGTGTTTAGTGGGTGGGAGGGGATTGGGATTATACAAAATACCTTCATCCAAACCCTTTTCCAACCTTGTACTGTGTATTAATGTATTCAAAAAGAATTCAGTTAAAAAGAAATAATCAATCTTCATTATAATTGTCATTGGTCTTATTTTGTTTCAACCCTATGATGACAAAAAAATGCATGCCAATTTGTGAATATTTCATGATGGGATAATAGTGATCGTCACTCGTTGGCAGAATTCATAATAGCCAATTAAGGACACTTTGATTTGCATTACAGATAAGAGCCAGCGTGCTGAACAGACTTCTGACCTGTCTGCATATGTGGGATTTCGCTGGCGTGCCATCTGATTAATTAAAATAAATCAAGCGCACCTCTGAACTATGGTTTGAAGGGACCGATTTTACAAAGTCAGGAAGGATACAGACATTTCAGCTTCTGATCGAACTACACATTGTCAGACAGGCAATGTACGGTTTTGGCTAAACCATCTTTTCTTGTCTTGCCGTCTACCGGTAAACAGTACAAACTGGAGTTTAGTGAAAAACCCCTTCATCATCAGAGACCTCCACTTTGCCTTGCACTCCTTTTCAGAATAATTATAAATAACAGTGTGCTAATTATGCAGAGGTGGAAGCCCTGGCTCAGCAGACCTTCTTTAATCAGACACAAGCAGAGTTCTGCAGAAGCATCAAGCTAAATGAATGTGCAGAGGAAATTGTTTCAGGAAATAGACACAAGTATATACAGTACGTATATAATTCATAAAGAGCGGCAGAAACAGGCTCTGCAATGAAAACCAGCAGCTTCACAAAACCACTGACTGTGCCATGAGACACATGTCTCATGTTACGCCACATTTATTTAACCTCATGTATTCATTCAACTTTCAAATCTGTGAATAGGAAAGTAATAAAGAAGCTTTTCTGTAGTTTGTATTAGAAATTTACATTAGAAATGAACCGATGCAGAGCAGACACTATTGAACTATTGTGATCCTACTAAAAATTACTACTAATTTGCAAACCTTCCATAAAGGGAGCTGGAGAGAAAAGTAGTCATGTAATGGGACGCCTTGTAGCTCCTTTTCAGAGCTACATGTGATGGGGTTGTGAGCTAGTAGCTCCCGGGCCATATTTGTTGGAGACACATGGTTTAAGTAGATGTTAATGGTTTGGTGATGTGATTGATGTATTTCTGTGACAAAAATCATCAACATTTTAGTTAATTTTGCACATTGTTCTGAAGGTGCTACAAGATACTGTAAAAGACAAAACAATTGTAATCATTTTGGAATCCATTAGCGGTGATTTGAGAGGAACATAGGTTCATTTTGTATTAGATCATATCAGGTATCAGTAGATATTGAAACCAAAAATACTGAGATTGTATTGGAAATGAAAAATTGGAAATAAAATTGGATCATATAGATACTAGATATAGATATTACTGTCTTAGCATATTTTATGTGCATTTATCACAGAGCATGTAGAGTTGACTTCACTTTGTAGTCAAAAGAGAATGTTGAACAAAAGCAGGATTAGAGAGGGTGCTGGCAGCATGGTCCAAATGAACAGAAAGGGCAAAGAGGTTGAATGATGGAGCATAATCAGCCTGGTGAGTGCTCAGCAGCTCACAGGGGAGCAGGGAGCAGTGGGAGAGGAAGCACTTACAAAGGCAAAACTTCAAGAGGTAAGTGCAAGAGGGAAAGTAATGTTTGACAATTTCAAGTCTGCTGTGTCATGAACGCATCATTTTACAACAATCAATGGAGGCTTATTCTATTACTGCCCAGTCAAACATGCTTCAGTCAGTTGGAGCATAGGATGAAATGCTTTACCTATAATCACTGTTGGGAAAGCCACTGTGAGAAACATTCACAAGAAAACTGTTTCTTGCTAAACATGGCCAGTGCAGAGTATTCCCAACTAATGTGTCAGTAAATAATCAGCTCCTGACATAGGTGTAAATGAGGATGAATGATCTCTCACAGTAAATGAATGGGAAATGATTTGAAATGTATATAACTTAGATACCACTGATATTAGGGTAGAATTCATATTCTCCTTTTTCAAAAGTGTTTTGTTATCATGACTCCTCAGACTATGACATCAGGAACAAAACAGTTTTCTGCATTTTGAAATCAAAGTTTTTGCCTGCAAATTAATTATATAATTTAAAGTTATATATCAAAACAAAATAGTTAGGGGCATTACTGTGACAATTACAAAATATGTCATGTTTTGCAAAGAGTTTAATTACAACAGGCTCATTCACACTGAGCTGAAGCGGCTTTTTCACCCAATAACCCTGGGTCGCCACACCCCACTGCGAGTCTCAAACTGACTGTATTTAATCTTGTCTTTATGCCGAAGCGTGTTCAGTGGGGACACACAAATATATCTGTAATTTATACAGCAATGAAAACCCAACCATAAACCCAAGTCGCACAAGGGTGTTTCTTTGCAAAATGAAGGGTGTTGCACAAAAATATGTAAAAAAATTGAGGTGAAAATGTTTAAATGGCTCCATGTGGATGATAAGCTTTCTGACAATGCAATGCTCTGGGATTTTTTTCTTAACCATTTTATTTGCCCCTTTTCTTTGTGTTGAACCGACACAGGTCTTAACAACACACCAGCATTTCCCACTACTGTTGTAGTGGAAGACTGGAGTCTCCAGTATGAAAATGCCTCATGTGGCTTTGAGTCAGCTCGGTGTCAGAAAATTAACGAACCGCAAGGAAAAAGGATGCTAATTCTGTCTCATACCTGCATTGCTTTGGCTAATCCCTTCATTACACTGCAGCGGTACATCATCTTTTATTATGACATACTTTGTCAAGATGCCCCAGATGCAGCAGGAGTGGGGTGTAGTTCTGGATGAAGGAATTTACTTTCACAAACATATTAAAGCACGCAGCACAAGTGTGTGAGAGTCAGTTAGTCTGTTAAATTTTAATTACACCAGTCTCTTGTCGCCGACCTCTAGTGAGCCTTATTAACACTTGGTCTTTTATTCAGGAGCTTTGTGAAAAACATCATTAAATATTACATGCATCAGCACATTAAAGTTGCTATGGAAACAACTGTAAAACGAGAAGTGGTGTTGAGAGATGTGTAGAGAGTTCATGGTATATTTACATTTCATGGCATTTGCAGTAAAAATAATATTTTATATCTTATTCGTAATTAAAAATATTGCAAAAAAAGGTGTATGAACCAAGAGAGAACTAATGCATGAAGAGGGTATGTGTGTCTCCACCATAGACTGTATATATTAACAGACGTAGTCACGCCTATATCCGCCGTTCTAACTAATGGGCCAAAAATTGGGCTCTCATGGTCATGGAGTGATTCAAAATGGCCGCGGGGGCTGGAAAATGTGAAAAAACGCATCTGTCAGCCGGCGAGAGCTCCATTCACTTAAACGAGTGACTTCAAAAATTCACAGCGACTAAACTAGACTGGTCCAGAACACTCCCCTCAGCACTGACACACATGTGGAATGAAGCTTTGGGCCAAGAGACAACTTTTGCCATCCTGTAAAGACGTTTTTGAGAGGTAAGCAGATGCTATATGTTAGCATTGGCTAATTCTTATTCCGGGTCCACCCCCATCGGCCCGGGGTGGTATTGCAGCATGTCAGCGCACGTCAATTTGGCCACTTTTGAGCCGGGACCGCCCCCACTGGTCTCCACTAGCGACTGCAATACACGGTACATAGAGCGGAAAATAATAAATGCTCAAACAATATTAACAGCTAGAGAAATAATAATTATTATTTTATACAGTCGATTACACAGGGGAGTTAGTTAAGACAGCTCTTGCATTTACAAGGATTGATAACGTACGGGTCATCCAGTTATAATAAATTGTTTAAAACATTAAGCAAAACAAAACTTCAGTTTAAAAGAATAAAATGTAGCATACATGCATGTTTTAGGGGAAAATATTTCAGCAAAACAATTAATCATCTGAAACAATCTCAATTTGTTAATCTAGAGGAGCCCACTATGAATCCATAGGAATAAAAAAGTTAGGAGAGGTGGCCCCCTGCTGGTCGGACACAAGCATTACATATGAATAGTTTCTCTCCAAAAACGGATAAGCCTTTCAAATACGTTCCTAATGGCAAGGCAAGGCAAGTTTATTTATATAGCACAATTCATACACAAGGCAATTCAAAGTGCTGAACAAAACAAGAAAGCATTAAAATCATAAATAATCACAGAACATTAAAAAGAAAGATGCAAATATAAAATCCCTCAGTTGTGTGCACAGCTAAACAGAACTGTCTTTAACCTGGTTTTAAACATTGTCAGAGAGGAGGCCTGTCTGACAATGCCCTTTACCAAGTGATTACTAACAAGCCAGTAAGTAGTAGTAAACTAGATATAATTTAGTGCCACAAAATTAAAGTTTCACCTCTTAAACCAGTGTTGCATTCATACCTGGCAATAACTTGTGGTGAGCTTGAACTGCGTCCCATACATTCTAACGCCGCGCAGTAGGAGCCCAGGTTTGGTTTGAGACCGGCTTCTTCCAGCAGAAGAAAGATGCGACCGATGTTATTCAGTGTTCCCTGATGATGGACAAGAACACAAGAAGTTTGAAATGAATATTATATGCAACACAATAGAAGAACGTCACACATTTTAGATCCACTTTCATTGTGAGAGAAGACAACGCACTCATGAACTCAAAATTCAACTTCTTTTTTTTTTATTGCCTTAAGTTTATTCAAAAAATACATGACTGAAAAAGAGGATTTTGGGAGTTTTACTTGTTTTTAGCTCTCACACTCTCATTGTCACAATGTTAAAATGTTTTGTGGGTTATTTTGTGGGGTTTTGGGTCTCCTACAGTTAACCAGTGTGTACATGCTGAATCCTGAAGAGCAACTGACAGTTGAGAATATTGACTTTGGCATTTAGTGTTTTAGAATCTGAAATCCCTCTGCAGTGAAACACCTTCATCTTGAGGTAGAAGTGTGAAAAGCTATTAACAGTAACTACTAAAAGCACAACTTAAAAAAAAAAAAAAGTTTAGTTGGTGTTAACTAATAAACTGCAACAACAACGAGCCTACGGGGCGACAGTAGCTCAGTTGGTAGAGCATTAAATCGACTTTTCACAGCTTTTCAACGTGAAATTGTTGGATTCTCAAACCTGTTTTTAGAGCCATTCATACATTTTTGTGTAATTTATATTCTCTTACACCATTGCTACCCTCCTCTGACCACCACTTCTGCTCAAAGGATAATCATATCTGTTTTTGTGCCAAAGCAGCAGAATCATTTGGAAACAGGAAGCAGTTTACCTTAGCAGCAATGATGTTTTAAACCCATCTGTAACTGCATGAAGCTCACCCCGCAGGAACAATAGCCCATATAAGGAAATTAGCTCCAGCCATTTTATAATAGTATATGATATTAATCCAATCCCTTTCAAAAATAAAGTTTGGATTAACATAACCAAAAAACTACTCCAACTGCTCACACTGATGACTGCTGTCGTTGTGTCCTTGGGCAAGACACTTAACCCCACATTTCCTGAAGCCCCCCCGCTGAAAGATCAAGGCTGTTTCACAATTGACGGAGCAGCCATCTTCCCGTGGACTCACCCCCTGCAGAGGATCAGGGACTGGTGCTATGAGCGTTGGGTGGCAGCTCTCATTCCCCCCCCCCCCCCCCCCCCCCCCCCCCCCAGAAATGGACAAAGGGGTTGAAAATGAAAATGAAATGAAATGAAACAACGAGCCTCACCTTTTTGGCCCAGACCCTCATCATGATGTTATAGATGTCCGTGTTGAGATGCCTCCGCCTTTTCCGCACGCGATGTTGGCTGAGCAGGAAGTAGTGCGCCCGGTCGATATCTCCGTTGAACACACAGGCCTCCAGGTAAGAGTGGATGCTGTTTCGAATATCCGCTGCATACGTGCCCTCAGTCTGACCCGGCTCGGGGGTCTCTGCTGCATTTGAAGAAGCCCATTCCCTCAGCTGCTCGTTCAGTCTTTTCTCCAGCTCTTCAGCCTCCGCCAACACCCGTGCTCTGGCTTGTGTCTCTTCTGGGTCAGTGAAAACTTCCTGGTTCAAAGTTTTATTGACCAAACTGTTTTGCTTTTTTGATAACTTTTTTGATAACTTTTGTGACAACGCTGCAGTCCCAGTTGAGGTTGAAGCAATCTTGGACTGAATTTCAACATCCAGTTTAGGACGATTTGTATTTTTCTTCTTGGACGGTGCGTTTATTTTAGCTATGGTTTTATAAGACGTCCCAGGAAGCATTTGACTGCCTTTGCTTGCTTTAGTGTCCTTTGTCTTTTTTTGGATTTTCAGCTGCAGATGTTGCAATTTCTTAAGCTTCTTTGTTTTTTCCTGTGAGAGTTTCTCCATCCAGCGACTAGGCTGAGACTTTGAGGATTGCTTGCTGGATTTGGGCTGTTCTGCTTTTGCCTGAGATTGGCTTCTGGCCTGTTTTCCCAGGTTTTTTCCCGAAGAGGGAGAGGAGACAAATTGCACTTTCTTGGCATGTTGGACTTCTAGAACCACTTTGGATTGGAGCTGCTGGATTCTGGCTTCAAGAACTGAAGAAGACATTTAAGATTAATTTATACAACAGTAGAAGCAAAATGAGTTGTAGTTCTCTTTAAACTAAATGTTGGGGTATCAAACATTCAAACGACAACGATTGAACAGTTTCCGAGCCAAGAACTACTTATATGGATTATGCTACAGTTTGCATACATCAATAGTTTCCAAATGAATGTATTTCTTTGGCTCCATCACATCAAAAAGAAAACTCTATTCAGGCAATAAAAAAAATAAAAAATAAATATGCCTTAAAAAAGCTTTTTTTAGCTTTTTTAAATGCTGTAAAATTGTGCATAAGTAATATTCAATTTAAAATTTTCTGTCAACGTGTCTGCCGGCGTGTGAGCATCATAGACTGTGCGCATGGATCCCAAAGCTAAAAAGAGAAGAGTCGATAATAAGACTGGACTAAGAATGAAACATAACATTTGCTTTCAGTCAATGAGGAAGGACTGCTTCATGTTTCCGATGTAATGAGAAGTTTCTATGAGATAATTGTATCTGTGCTTAGAAACTACAAAAATGGCCGCTCGGGGAGGAGTTGAACCTGGATGGGGGCGTGGTCAAAGGTGCCTCATTTGCATTTAAAGAGACAGCACCAAAACAGGTTGCTCTCAGACGCACCTCAGAACAGGTGTAGAAGAAAGGCCCGTGGAGCTACAAATAATGAGACTCAGACCCAGGCATTGTAGTTACGCTTTATATAGGCAACAAATTAATGATTTAGATGTAAAAATCAATTATTTGAAAACACGATATGTCCACTTTAACTCACTGACTGCCAGGCATTTTCAGATTTGAGAAGTGCATTCTGCCAGCAATTTCAGGTGATTTGACCCAACTTTGAAGTGCCACAGAATATTCATTTTTTAGACGATGTAAACACCAAGGGCACCAAATTAAAGATTCACCTCTCTGCTTTACTCTGAAAAAAACAGTTTGTTTCTACCTCTTACCGTTCTTGCGTTATTCGCCATAGAACAAAGCATACTTTCACCCATAACACCTGGTCTGAGCAAGAAAACAGAGAAAACGAGCTGTGTGTAAACAGGAACATATCAAGCAGAAAAGAGACTTTTAGATGCATTTTTGCTGCTTTAGTGACAACTCAAAACATCTTCACACTTGTTCCATTACAAAAATTATAAAAACATGACTCTGAAATAATACTTTTGATGGCAAATTGTTGGCAATTTATTCACAGATAGAAAATTTAACTTTCTTCTATACCATCAACCAAAACGTCAAACAACAACAACACAAAGATCAATAAAACTATAGATGTATAAAATAGAATGAAGCATGTGAATTTGAGTGTGTGTGTGTGTGTGACTGTCAGTGTGCGAGTGAGTGTCTGTGTGAGTGAGTGTCTGTGTGTGTGAGTGTCTGTGTGTGTGAATGTCAGTGTGCAAGTGAGTGTCTGTGTGTGTGAGTGAGTGTCTGTGTGTGAATGTCAGTGTGCGAGTGAGTGTCTGTGTGTGTGAGTGAGTGTCTGTGTGTGTGAATGTCAGTGTGCAAGTGAGTGTCTGTGTGTGTGAGTGAGTGTCTGTGTGTGAATGTCAGTGTGCGAGTGAGTGTCTGTGTGTGTGAGTGAGTGTCTGTGTGTGTGAATGTCAGTGTGCGAGTGAGTGTCTGTGTGTGTGAGTGAGTGAGTGCGTGTGAGTGTTTGTGAGTGTGTCCGATTAATCATGATCAGGTTTGCTGAACGAATCCGAGGCATCAGTAACAGCAGCAGCTGATACGCTGCGAGAGGCGGAAGGTGTGTCTCTGCTCGGGGCTCTTGCTCCGCGCAAATGTAGCTGCAGAGACGGACCTCCACCGGGGTCTCCACTCTCTCCCCTCTCGACCTCACTCACTGATCCGCGAGTCAATCTCTGAAGCAGTGTCAGCTGCTTATAACTATTCTTTTTCGCCATCACTCTTGCTATACTATCGCTAAACTAGATCGCTGATCCGTCTCAATGCTACAGCAGCACGCTCTCTCACACTCCCACACTCCTCCTCCTTCTCTCCACTGACTTATGACCTCTCCTGTGGTGCAATACTGCATCCTACTGGTGGTGATTTATCATTACAGGTACATTTGCACTATATATCAGTGTTGTGGGTCATTAACAAGGTGCGCCAGACATTACTGCAGCCTCCCGTGTAATAACACGAAAAACTCGTCAAACTCGTCATGGGCAGTGAGCGTTACTATTCAACATGACGAGTTTTGTCGTCATGGGCAGTGAATGAGTTAATATACAGTATAGCTTTAACAAACATCCCTACGCACAGTGAGATCTGCAGAGAGGCAAGACAGAGCACGACCAAAATAAATATCTTCATGGTTGCAATTAAACACATGTAAGATAGTTTAATTCCACATAATGGGATCGTCGAAGCAAAATAGTTTAACACATTGCCCATCAGAAAAGTTGGGTTTAGATTGCATACAAATGAACCGTGATGTTGAAACATGATTTTCTCTTTAATACAAACATACATAATGCCAAAAAGAGCGCTGTGCTAATCTGCCGCACCAAAGGGGACACACATATTTGTTTTCCAGACTTTTCTTTGTCTGGTCAAAAGCTATGTGTTTGCAGGAGAATTAAATACTTGGGTCATGTCATAGCTGACCGACTCTGTGATGATGATGACATTAGGCAGCATCATCACAAAAACTGTACGCTCAAGCGAAATGTTCACATATGCGGAGTTGATGTTAAAATTAAACTGTTTAAAATGTACTGATCACTACAGCCCCACTGTGGTGCAGATATAAGAAGACACTACAGAAGCTCAAAGTAGCCTATAATTATGCTTTCAGGAGTCTGCTGAAAAATCCCAGGTCCAGTAGTGCTAGTCTGCTGTTCCGTCAGACTCGTGTGAACTCTTTCCATGCTCTAATGAGAAATATGATGTACAGGTTTATGTGCCGCCTGAACGTCAGTGAGAAGTCTTTTATACAGTCTCTGGTGAACCCCAGTATTAGTGTTGTGCGTTCCCAGTCAGCTCTGTGGAAGTTCTGTGGAAGCCCTGTGGAAGCTCTGTGGAAGCTCTGTGGAAGCTCTGTGGAAGCTCTGTGGAAGCTCTGTGGAAGCTCTGTGGAAGCTCTGGTACAATTGTCTTTTATAATTGTTTGTGATGTGGTGTTTGTGTTTATGGACTTTGAGTCTGACAAATAAAGATAATAAAAAACACAACTCACCATCAACGAGAGACTGTTCTAACAAACGTTTCTTGTTGTCATCTGCCTTGGGAATCAGACATGATACATTTCTTTTTTGGAGGCTCAAACAGGACTCTGTCAGAAGAAAATGGTAACATTAACCTTAATACTTAATACTCTGTAAGTTCAACCAATAGCAAAGGACTTTCTAGTCTTAGCAAATGTAGTTTGTTACAGAAACAGGTTCAAAGAGGTTTACCGACATAGACAACTTAAATGATTTTCAGCCTGACTAAATACAATTTTTGCCGTATATATTTTGGAGAAAATTCAAAGTAATACGACAGTGTATGGTAATATATTGGTGTCGACCCGTCCAGTGCATAAAGCTACAGCACATTAACACTGTGCTGCTTCATGGTGCTGCTTCATGGTGCTGCTTCATGGTGCTGCTCCATGGTGCTGCTTCATGGTGCTGCTTCATGGTGCTGCTTCATGGTGCTGCTCCATGGTGCTGCTCAGTCTCCTTCAGCTCACCTGTTATCCAGGCGCCTTGTCTCCGGTTAACACACAATAAACCATTGGCGACAGAGGCGGTGGTAGCAGACGTCCCCAGCCACACACGGCTGCCTTTCACACACTGTGCAAGAGCACAGAGCCGCAGAATTGACATGTTGACATTTTACACCAGCCTCACTGATCCTCTCACTGCATGCGCGCCGCCATGTTGGATTCAGACCTAAGCAATGGAGCCACCACTGATCAGTGATCACGTGGAGGACGAGAGTCAGGCTAAGTAGAAGATCACAGAAGACTCGGCTGAAACCTCTAACGTCAATGACCGTAGAAACGTCATGCATTCTTGAACATGATAATGAGCATTTGGCCTTGCAAAATAATTTAGAAAAATATGACGAATACTGGATATGTGATCTCATCAAACATGCAATTTAATTTATATTATATTTGTTTTAATACTTTGTACATTGGAATTACAGCCACAAAGTTGTAAATAGTGCAATTTTTCTGGAGAAATGGCCCTTAGAATTGAATGATCACACCCACCATGGGGTGGGGTAACCTTACACTACAATAAAAAACAGTGCAAACAACATCACTAGATACACTTATAGCAGTAGTTGTTTTATGTTGCCTATGTCTCAAAGTGGAAACAACATGATACATTTTGGCGCTTCTGTTGTATGTGTAGTTTTCAAAATTTACAAGGGCCTAATGAACACGGCGTCTTAAAAGTAACAATAGTATTATTTTTTTCTGGGACCAAAATAAAGACAATCAATCTCATTCATAAAAGCATTTGGAAATATTTTGTTAAATATATAAGAACATACAAGCACATTTCTTGCTAAAAAAACCGCAGTTCCACTTTGTCTCTAAATCTACACTATAAGAATTGTCGGCCATTTATTTTCCCATTCACGAAGGAAACTGTAGTCACCTGACCATGGATCTGACCCGAAAACCCAAGATGTCTGCCCATTCAAATCAATGGCCTCTGCTCATTGGCGTATGTAGACGATGGAGGCTGAAATATTAGCAAAATGGACGCATTTTTGCCACCTCTGGACCTCCTGGCAGTGCAGTTGGTACGCCGTTTGTCATACTTCTGCAGGTCAAAGGAAATACGCAACCGTTCATACCAATCAGCACTAACTGTAGAGGGAAGCACTGTTTTTTGAAGGCAACATCGATGACCAATGAGTCAAGTCCATTGCAAAAACGTGTGGATTTATATAAAAAAAAAAAATGGATTTCAAAAGAAAAAGGTTCAGGATGACAGGCGACACAAAAATCCCCACTAAACTCAACCTTTAAGAAAGTTGTAGGTTCTATGAAAGGGTGGCCCCCCAGACCCCCAACTGTATTTCCAGATTATATAAGACATGCATTACACAAAAATAAGTAAAAATGCTATAGAGCACAAACTGTGGTATTATTACAGTTTGAAGTAGTTTTTGAGGTGGACCAATGTGACTTTTCCATAGTTTTCAATGAAGATGGTTAGGATTAGATAGCGATTTGACCTCCAGCTGCACTGGGGACGTCAGCGCTCATTTAAGTAAAACACAAATATTGTTTTGGGCTTAAATAAGGACTATTAATTGATAGGTTTGTAGTGTTTGTGTTTGCCCTGCTCTCTTCCCCTGGGCTTTACATCTCACAAAATGGAACTGTAAACTAATAATGAATGAAAGATAAATACATTATATGAAAAATATGTTTTATCTAATATTCGTTAGATTATTTTACACATTTTTAATTTGTTCATATTTGTGTTGTGATGTAGTTCTTTACATATAAAGTGCAATCCTATGTTGGTCCTTTAGATGGCAGTGTCACTTTGATGAGAGGCTCAAGCAGCAGCTCATTTGTGTGTCGTCATTTTAGTGTTTTCAGGGTGATGCGATCAATCTTTTGTTTTACCATTTCTCTGCAGCTTGAGTTTTAAAGTTTGATACTGTAGTTTCTTGAAATATTCATGGTTTATTTATGTATATATTATATCATGATGATTTTAGTTGTAACGTCGAGAAAACCTATGTATAGATTTTGTGGCGTGAAAACTTCACCAGTCCAACTGACCAAACATCGAAGACCTGTTTGAAGAAGGGGTATTTGTTTGTTCTATGATGCAGATTTTACTTCAGTGAAAATAAGTTACTGTAAGTACGGTTGCAAACTTAAAGCAGAGGTACCTAAACTTTTCTTATTGGAAAAAATATTTGGCATACTTGTCAGAAAGAGCCCTGTAAGTCACTATTTGATCCTTTGGGCTGAGAGCTGAATGGCGGTCCTCTCATTTTCACATGTCTGTCATAGATGGATTTGATGATGTTTTTGTGGTTGAATAGTAAGCTTCCCCAGCTTCAATTATGGTTGTGTAGAAGCCAGCAATAAGTCCTCTCAACATTTTGTGCTATTTTTTGTTTTCAATTGATTTTAGGGCAAGGGGTTAATGGGGCAATGTATAAGACAACATTGGGTCCAGGAGAAGAGATCTTGACAATTCACAACTGCATGGCTCTATCCAGCGCACAACGTTGCCCCGATATTTGTTAATTTTTACAGAATTTCTCTTTGAAACTTTTTTGTCTTCCTCATGCATGCCCAATTTCACACAGTCTTATGGAGGGAGCTCTTTCCCCATCCCTGACAATTAGCTTACTTTACCTTTGTAGAGGAAAGACCCCATTCTGACCAACTCTTTTTACTACCCCCTGAAAGTCATTAGTCCTCCTATTCACCCGCAAGCTTTGAAGTTCAAAGATCATACAGTTTAAAATCAAGTGTGACTTTGCTTAGAGCCAGGAGTTACAGTAAATTTATCTTATTCATATCCTGTATATACTTTTTGACCCCCAGTAGCGTCAGCCTCCTCTTGTCGTGCACCCATAAAGCATTCTTAAACACTTTAGCGGCCCTTTCTTTGTCTCGGCGGGCTGGAGGTTAACACAAGCACTACTTGACAGAGTGGCAGGCATTGGAGTGTGTGTGTGTGTGTGTGTGTGTGTGTGTGTGTGTGTGTGTGTGTATGTGTGTGGGGGGTGTGCAAGAGGGGTGTGCAAGGGGGGAAATGAGGTCCAGGCCAGTACATCTTTTCTCAGTGGATCTCAGCGGTATAGGCGTCTGGTGCAGAGCTGTAGGTGAGGATCAGGAGGTGTTTGTTGCCACGGTTCACAAGCGGGGCCCCTCGACATGGCTGTTTGATGTGGTTGGCCCCTGTCGGCGGCTGGCTCTTAGCGCTGGTGTGACAGTCATTGCCGGGTGAGTGACTGCCAATGCCTCCGCGCACAAAGGAGGAGAAGACAAGCATTCATGGAGCCTGATAATGGCCAGGCCGCGACAAGGCTGCCATTCCCATAGACTTTGATCATACGGTTTCTTTTCCACACCTTTGTAGGGGACTGCTATTTGTTTAACAGATGGAGAGAGGGCAGCTTTTCAAATGGCTTCACCTGGCAAGCAATACTCGACGGAGATAGTTTTCAGAAGAGGTGGCGTTCGCAAGGGGCTTTACATTACTTACAGGTCATTAGTGGCCAGTTCCATGAAGCGTACACTTTATTTTGTGATGTTAAAGCAACACTGTGTAACTTTTTGGTAGTGGAGCATCATGTGCAGGATTCCCGAATTTTAAAACTATAAGGTTTTTTTTTCATCGACCAAATGTTTTCATTAATTTTGGTTAAATTGTGACTCTCTGTTACAAGTATGGAGAAAAAAAACACATTTTCTAAAACTATGACATTATTGCTGTTTAAAAGTGTAGATTATTTTTGGCCAAATGATAAAAACTAAACATTCAGATGGACTTTTGAATTGTAGAATCCCTGAAAACCAGACCATAATTGTCGAAGAACACACCTATGAAAGGGGCCCATTTATTGTGTATAATAATGAGAATTAACCCTGGCTGACTACTGAGCGATACTTGACGTTTTGTTGACTAAATCTAGACTGTCAAAATGAACGCTGATTCTTCATAGATAAGTTAGAACCAATTGATCGGGACCGATAAGTGTGAACGTGTCCTCAAACTTGTATTGAGACTAGTTCAAAATGTATTATAGTCCAAAAATGGTTTATCAGAATTAGTATGGAATTGAAGAAAATGACAAAAGCTGGGGAAGTCTGGGATCGTCTCACAGCAGAAGACATTTAATTGTTAGCAAAAAGACACAACCAAAGATTTTCAGCGTACACATGGTTTGATACCAAATGACCTTCAGACCGAAACATCAAGTGGAAAATCCCTGACTTCTGCATACTGTTGTAATGTTCAAGTGTCATAAAAGATAAAAGAGTTTCAGTATTCATAATGATATTCCTAGGATTTGTGCACGGGCTTGGGACTGGCACCAGGGACATCATTTTATTTGTAAGTCAGAGCAAAGTGATTTTAGGTCCAGTCCAACTTGTACAAACTCCCTCTTGGCGGTGTCTTGTTGGGAAGAGACGTGGAGAGAGCTTCCACGGTCATGCTGATGATACGCAGTTCTAAATCCATCTACATGTCTCCTGTTGACATCAGGCGACACAGCAAGAAGGTCCTGGACTCTATTCCACCTACAGTTCTTTCTTTGTGGAGTTTGCATGTTCTGCGTCTGCCAATATTTCCTCCAGGTGCTCCGGTGTCAGGAAATGAGACAGTTTATTTCCAATTTTTTCCAGATAGAACAAATGAAGACAAAGCAAAGAATGTTGATAGATAGATTGATGCTTTATTGATCCCTGAAGGAGAAATTCAGGTGTCCAGTAGCAGCAGAAACACATGCATTCATTCAAACAAAACAAATAAATAGATCATTCTAAAAATAGCTAACAATAGAATTAAAATGCAACAGTCCTTTAGGTCACAGCAGCAGTGATGGTGTAGCCGCTTGGTTCGGACCCTTTTCTCTGCTCTAGTCCAAAGTGAGATGCTGGTTCCTTGTTAGCATTTTTTCAAACAGTTAGAATTCCTCCAGTGGATTTTCACCTGATTTGCTTGTTTCGGACCATGAATACTCTCCGGCCCGGTCTAAATCAGTGCAAAGCCATGAACACTGTACTGCAGCAACATCTCAGGTAGAAAAAAGCAATACAAAAAACAATTGTAAAGCACAAACAACTGTTTCAGAACTGCTTTGAACTTAATGCCGTTTCCAGCACATTCAAAAGTAAATGTATTTCCATGTGCATAAGAAGAGACGTAAGCACTTGAGATATTAAAGACGTTGATGCTTAAGATATAGATACTAGTAGAAATGTGGGTCAGAAGCAAGCCCTGGCGATCCAAGATGGCGCCTTATTCAAATTAATGGCTTGTGCTCAGTGGCGCATAGTGCCGGCATGGGCGCCGAAAGATTAGCGGAACTCGACTGGAACTCGGAAAGATCCATGGGAACTCGGCTGTATTTGGGCATCGTCTGGTCCTCCTGGTTCTGTGCAGTGGATGATCTCCCATTATGCATTGCAGTGTGTGGCTCTCATGCACGTGCACAGAGGGGCTCGTTCTCTGTCAGCTGAGGTGGAGCTGTTTTAGTTTACATTGAGTTCTATGGGGAAAATTTCTGGGTAGCCCACGTGAATTTAGTCTGGTTTAGTCTGCAGTACCGCGAGAATCCCCCGAGCACATGGATTATTCAGCTCCAAGCTTGTAATACCCTATCCTGATATTATAATAGATCCATGGTCAGAAGACATTCAGATCTTGAGATAAAAACGTTTAGTAGCAATACAGATATAACTGTGGTCTCCATGGCCTTAAACTCTTTGAATCTGATTCTTGAATATCCTTCATATTTGTCCTAAATCCAAAACATTCAGGTCAGATTACACACATGTACAAGAGGGACAGATCCAATGAGAGAGTGAATGAATTGTGATGGTTAAGGGCAAATTGTTGCAAATTGTTTGTGTGACCTTGGTCTGTAAAAGACGCTAAATAAATAACCTTACCTACTTGCTTTACTGTACTTACTTTCCAGGCCAAGAGATGCAACTTTTAGCATCCTTTTAAACCTCAAATCCCGATTTGAGAAAAAACTTAATCCAGGACAAAACTGAGGTTTCAGTCATCGGTCCCGAGGTCCAGGGGGAGAGTTCTTTTAGTCCATTTCCACAAGTGAAAATCCTGGGCGTAATTTTTGACTCTTATTCTTCATATTAAAAACATCACAAAAATAGGTATTTATCATTTGAAGAACATAGCCAGCGTCCCCCAAATTCTCTCTCGGGGCAAACAAGGAGGCACTGATGCATGCTCATAGCACCAGTTGTACTGCGTGTGTGTGTGTGTGTGTGTGTGTGTGTGTGTGTGTGTGTGTGTGTGTTAAATAATGTATGTGATTTGGGTGTGTGGGATTGTTTCAAGTTCAATCGTAAAGCACTGTGTGTAGCGACTGATATCTGCTGTCGTTGTGTCCTTGGGCAAGACAATTGACCCACTTTGCCCATAAGGAGCGTGGAACTGATGTCCGCTGTTTGCCTTGATGTGTATATGTTTATGTGTATGCCTCAAACTAAAATGTTTCCATTGTGGGACAAATAAAAGACCTTCTTCTTCTAGTAAGTAAGTAAGTAAGTAATCTTTATTTATATACCGCCTTTTCACTGCACATCGGAGTCTCAAAGCGGTTTACAATTGTTATTTTTAGGGCATTTGTCTCTCGCTCCACACAGAGATGGGAGCGGGGTCGCCGGTACAGGAGGCGCATGCTAGACCTATTGTACATATTTTTAGTGGTAGGGGAAACCGGAGTACCCGGAGGAAACCTACGTAGACACGGGGAGAACATGCAAACTCCACTCAGAAAGGCCCTGGTCCAACCGGGATTCGAACCCAGGACCTTCTTGCTGAGAGGCGAGAGTGCTATCCACTCAGCCACTGTGGCACGGTGGTTGAGTTTTAAATTTAGCTTGAAAGGCACTACATGAAAAACATTTGATTATTCCTTTTTCTCTATTCTGTATAAAAGAGTTGGGAGAATGGAGAATATGTTTTGAAGTGTTTCTCCTTACAGTTTAAAAAAAAAAAAAAAAAGGTTCCCCAGCTTTAAAGATGTCTTAAGCATTAGAGGACTGCAGATACTTGAGTCTATTAGTGCTAAAGACACTACAGCAGACATCACAGTGGGCCGCAGACTAATGCGCCGGCCTTTCCTGGACTTCTGTGAGTCATTTAGCTTCCCACAGATTTTTATCGTGGCTCTAATTAGTGACTCACTGTTGTTCTGTCATTTCATTTATAAGCACATCCCAGCAACATAATTCTTCAATTGCCCAATACTGGGGTCAAATGAAGCATAATATCAGCTACTGTGTGGAAACTTGCCCAAAACATCAGTGAGAAGTAGTAGTAGTGGCAGTTGTAGTAACGACATATTACACGCACACACACACACACACACACACACACACACACACACACACACACACACACACACACACCCACATGCACACACACACACACACACACACTTGTCTGGGATCCACAATAATACAAAGATACAAATAATATTTTCTCTCTTTTTCAGTGCACCATAACATTCATGTTGTTCATTGTTTTATAGTTGGAGAACACTTTGATGAGTCGTACAAACCAATATACAAACCACATGAAAGGTATTTGTATATACTGTAGGTGATAATCGTAAAGGAGTGTGATGATATATCGATATGGTAATGTATCGTGATACTTTCTCATGCAATCGATTATCGATATGCTTTTGCTAAGTATGGATTTAAAAAATAGATACATATATATATATATATTTTTTTTAAAGCTTTACTTGAAAAAAAAAGTAGTGATACTTAATATACGGCTATATTACGCATTCTACAATTTCTGTATTGATTTTTTTGGATGTAAAACAGATGAAGTAAGATTTTTACTAAAATGTGCAGGTTAGAAGGCATTTTTGCTTGTTCACTTTAACGTTACACATGACACTTTATCCATTTATCTTGAAATAAAGTTTCAATTTTTTCACTTAATTTATGCCATAAATATAAGAAAAACATTGTCGTAGGTATATTTATAGCGCTGCATCGTCATATCGTGAGATAATCGTTATTGTGAGCTTTGTATCGCACATCGTATCGTATCGTGAGGTGACCTGAGGTTCCCACCCCTAATAGTAATAATGAATATCATAACTTAACCTGCTCTATGATATCTAACTGCCCCACAGCTTTCAAATGTGTGCTCTTTCTAATCCCTCTGAGGGCATCATATCATGCCAACATTTCCTTTTTGCTAGAAGAAAAAGACCCAAAGATTCAATGGTGTACAAGCCGAAGCACAATTAATGAAAGGCAGCCATTAGTAGGAGATTGAGGATGCTCAGGCCAAGGTCAGGTTTCAACTCTTTTGAAGACTTTGATGACACATAACAGGCCTCATTATACTGATATTATCTCCATTCATACGCTGAATTGGGAGACCTGCTGGGAGGTGTTATTGGAGGCCTGCTGATTGAAAGGAACACCCATCTAACGTCATTTCTATTTATATAAATTCTATTGATATTAGAGCATACATTATATATAATAAAAAATATAAACGCTTAGGGCTGAAAGCTGATTGGCTGAGTGGGGGTGGTCCTGTCTTTTTCACCTTTATGTCTGAAAAGCTGATTAAACAAGGAACTTCGTTAGTTAGATGGACTTTATAGTTCCAATGTATTGTGAAATGAAAGTTAGGTACCCCTGCTTTAATACAAGATATGACTTCAATTACAAAATAAACCTCAGCATCTTGAATCAGTTTGGCTGATTTGCCAACAGCAACGGATGAAGTCAAAGAAAATGAAATGGTAATTTATGAGAGAATACATAGGGAAATGAAGATGGCTGATAACTACAGTAAAAGTTATGATATGGTGTAAGATGAAACCATGAAGAGATGGAATTGCGCCTGGCATAAAAGGTCCACACTTGCATTTAAAATATATTTGTATATGTGACTCTGTTGACTATTCCCAATTATTGAATGCATCTATTGTAAATACATGAATATCCTTTTACGCGATGAATCCCCATTTGAACTCCTGAGGCTGTGGGAAATCAGCGTGTGTTTAGCGGTGCGTTTATCTTTTGTCCAATCACATTTCACTCTTTGGACCGTTTTACAAATAAGAAATGACAGTTCAATTTTTGGTTTACAAATTAAAATGGTCCCAGAAAAAATGAATAAAATACCAATTTAAAAAGTTGGCGTTTCTCTCTTTTCTCTGGGTTTGAAATACAAGTGGTCATGAGATACAGCTTTGCTTTTATGCTTCACACCAGGGAGATTCATGGTTCCTTTTTATCAGATTGACAAGAAAATGCATAAATCAGAAAACTGCAGAAAATGTGACGGGCCTAGAAGAGTTTAATATTAGAGGGACCGTATTTAATAGTTTAATTTCAAATTATATCATACACTACATTTTATATGTGTCCCCAGAAAATAGGACAAGATTTTTTACATAATATTTGACTTTTTCCAAACACAATTATAAAGTGCAGTTATTCTAAGTTAAAAGTACAATGGGCATGTAGTCCATAAAATTTATGTTTACAATTTTCAAGCAGATTATCCAATCAGAGAACAGGAGAATAGTTTCTCACTTGGGTTGCCAGTTTGTTTGTTTAAATGAAAGCAGATGCAAGAATAAATAGTTATACAGAATACACAGAGTTTGAAAAATTTCCCGCAAAACCCCAGCAGATGGACTGCATCTGTGCTTAGGAGCTACAGTACATTTGTCACAGACAGGAAGATTCTGGCAACAAAAGGTGAACTGTAATGACTTTATTAGACCACTAAGAGTGTACATTACACATGGCCCCTTTAAAATATCAAAACTGCCATTTTCCTAAACTCTGTCTTATAAGTAATCATACATACCCCTTGAGACATCACCCATCTTTAGCATAATTCAAAGCTACAAAGGTTGGAACATGGCCGGTGGTTTGAATGAAAGGTCATAGACTAGCTTTCGCAGAGCAGTGTCAAACGGGCTGAGTCTCGGGGGCATTTAACAAGCACAAAAGGTGTGAGGTCAACGGTGCCCCACATTGCGTTTGTAGTTGTTCAGACACCTTCGGCTTAGCTGGTGGCCTTTGGGTTAAAGACGCAAAACTGGAAGTATCGCATTAAAAAGTCCAAAGTAAAGTAGCTTTGCTTAGGTTTTCTGAGTAGCTTCTGTTCAAATACATCACAACGTTTTTAGTTAAATGAAATTGTGATAAGCTTGCATGGTTGGTAAAGCCCTTTGATGCCACCTCATCAACTTCATTACACAGCTTGTAAAAATCAGACAAGAGTGTTGGAAGTCTCTAAAAAGGTGTTCTTCATTTCCGCCGGGCTCTCTTCAAATGAAAGCGGGGAGATCAGAGGGGGTGTTCATTTGAAATACTAGCTCAGGTGATCAGAAAGCCCGTCCAGCCGGCACCATCTGGACTAACTCTACAGGCACTTGCGCAAACCTCTTGATGGCTTTCGCGATGTGGTAGAAAACGAAGACTTTTACGACTGGTGTTAGCATATCAAAGTGGGGTAAAAGGACAAGGTATAACTGAGTAAATAGGTCCATTAAAAAACAGAAGGAGTATCAGCAGGGATAAAAATGGCTGGCCAAAAATTTGATGGCCCCACCTTCTCACACCGATGGAGGTCCTGCCCAGGATAAATACGGGCCAGCTCTGTCGTTGCTCCCAAAGCAGACAGACTTGCTGCTTGACTGCCCCATGCTGCAGACTCTCGCTCCCTCCCCTATCACACACCTCCACACACACACACATACACACACACACGCACACACACACATAAACACAGCCAGACACCAAGCCTCATTCAACTCGCTCTCAGCTACGGGTCAGCAGCTCCCACCCGCACCTTACTCCGCTCCAGCTGGGAAAGACCCGGCATTGCAAGGTGCATTGGGGATTCCACACTGACTGACGCGCATTTGTGGATTTTGAGGGAAAAAAAGACGCTGTTTTGGAACTTTCTGAAGGGACTCTTAAAAATGCCATGATGCGAAAAAAGTCAAGAGGAAGATAAGAGATTTTTTTGTAAAACATCCAAAAGCATTGCCGCTTTTTCATTGATCCAAGCCATCACATTGACACCCGCCACAGGGCATCCACTCCGCATCAGCATGCCGGCAACCCCAGGGAGCACATTGGGAGTGTGACCCACCATGTGCAGATGGACATCCGCAGCCCACTTCAGTCCTGAACCTGTTCTTGGCACAGCTGCTGGCCTCTCCAGTGGGCAGCTCATCCCCCTACCCAATGCAGCCTCGCTTTGCCTGGCCTGCCTCACACTGCTCATGGTCACCGCTGGCACTTCCATGGGGGCCTGTCCTCCGGGGGTCCGGCAGGAGTCCGTCCAGGGGCTTGCCACAGCAATCAACTGCTCATGGACTTTGGAGAGGCATGCTCGCAGCTACAATCACCTGGAGGGGGACGTCAGACTGCGGCGACTTTACTCTGCCAACAAATTCTTCCTGTGCATTGATAAAACGGGCAAGGTGGATGGCACCCGGCGGAAAAACTACGCAGACAGTAAGTTTTCGTTAGCAACCAAGAGTGTAACTTATTTTATGTGGCATTATTATCTGTTGACTTTATAGCTGATGAAGTATTGGTGGTAAAATGTGAAATACTGTACGTTTTTATTGGAGCGATCAACCTGCGGATAACAGTTGGATCTCTGTAGACCATCAGCTGGCAGCTCAAAGTGTGCTTGTCAAATAATATGTCTGAGGATTAACACGTCCAAGAAATGTCTGCATAGCTTCTTATTTATGAAGATGGGAACTTGTCATTAACATCATGACAATATGTTCTGGCATTTTGAGATTCATTTGACCTTACTATCTTGTCAAAGCATTCTTATTTATACCACGTGTGACTTCTAATGTATTTAGGAACATCATGATTACATCTGAGGCATCTTCCTGGCATATATTTGCCCCAGAGACACTTGAGAAGAGGTTTCACAAACAGCACCATGCCTTTCTGCTATGTATCAGTGGCTGTCTTATTGGCCCAAGTTAAATGAGCCGGCTGTGGTCATATGCTGACCTCCGTCTCCATTACTCACTGACTGAGTGGATGGCCCATAGAAACAGTTATGCCCTACAGAGTAATATTTATGTATCTTTGGTTGTTAATGCCTTTTTTATGAAAGTGTGTGACTCAGAGTTTTTCCATACTGCTACTAGAGACAGCTGCTGCAAGCAGCAGAGCTACTCTGCCCCTGCCGCTGTATAATGCTGCGTGACATTTTGAACCTGTGGGGTTAGCCATTTGGCGCAACCCAGAAGAACCACACACTTAGCGAGAAAATCAGCAAATGAATTATTAGCTGGTGCATAAGTACTTACTGTACGCTGAGATGATCATACAACCGTAAACACATCATTATAAAATATTACCTCTATATATAAGACATTAATAGTGACTCACTAAACTGAAGTAGAAGTGTATCTTTCTGTTGCAGATGTTCAGTATAAAAAAAAACACAGTTTTCTTATGATTAATGTGTCATTGAACGTATCCTCTCATATATTTTCTTATGTGGAAAGAACTCTCGGTTCAAGCTGTCACAGAACCGGCCAGGCCCCGGTGCAAGTGCATGGACACTGCTGCTGCTCATTGGATGCAGAGCATTTGTCTTAAATCGAACTAAGTGGAACATGTGACCGCTTTGTGTTACTCATCGGAAAGGCACAGGTTGAGTTTGAGTGACATTTTTACTGTGTTTCTCCAAAGTCACAACAGCTTTTAATCAGACTTAAAGCTTCCTGACCCAGAGCACTTCTGGACACTGATACTTTGGCCATTTCATCGATTAGACTGAGGACAAGTGCGTTCTGCATTTTTAATGACACTGACATAGATACAAGAGTGTTCTGTCGGCGAGACGAAAAAGAGGATGCAAGCTCATTTACAGAATTTACTCAACCTTGAAGAAATATTTAGAGAAAAACCACAGAACAATACAAAAGACACAAGTATATAAAGACAGCATGGGCTTCAGTAGAGCTCCAGAGACTCAAAGAAAAACAAATATTTCTATATATAGTTTTTCTTTTTTATTGAGGTAGTGGTACAATTTTGAGGAATTTATAAGTGTGAATCAAGAATGAAACCTTTAAGTATAAATATTATGCATTATTATTCGTTCATTTTCATCTTTGGTCTTTCATGTTTTAAAACGTGAAATTGTGTTCAAAAGTAGACATTTTATTTGGATAATCATGGCAAAATACGTCTCCTTTAATCGTATTTATCGGAGATCCCAGAACGCATATACAAGCCTGTGATTCTATGGGGACACATTGTATACATCCTGTAATGCGACACACTTACATAGACTCATATGGGCTGCAGATTGGCCCTGATATGTCATGGATATACCTCATGGGCCTGCAGAGGTTGCTGACAGGCAGTCTGGTCGTCTCTGCCCCCACCCTCCTCTCAGCTGGGTCTGTCTGCTGTACAGTATACCCTTCTCCGGTCCTCACCTCCACTCCTCCACCCCGCTCACTTTTTCCAACTCCATGTTCAGGTGCAAAAACAGTTGGAATTAGTCAACACACACTTGCCGCTAATTGAGCTTGGAAAATATTGTATCAATCCTAGTGGAGCGATGGCATGGAACAGCTGAGGGAAGAGGAACTCGGACAGACATGGGGTTGAAAAGGACAGTAGATGGTGCCATGAGAATTAAAGCCATTATTTCTGTCCATTAAAAACAAACAGAGAATATTTACTTTGTCTTTTCATATTTTAGAATGTGAAATAATATCTCCAGTCCATAATAGAAGTATAGAATTGTTTGAGTTATTTTTCTTTCAAATTGGAAAATTACTGGCTCCAAACACAGCCATGTGATTGGAAAGAATGTATTTTCACTTACGACATTGCCAAAACTAATTTATCGTATACTACAATCCCCACAGCTAGCTATGACGATAAAATTAACATTTTTTGGTTAGAATACTGCATGTTAATGAACACTGCTCTCTGGATTACAGCCTTGACTTAAAGAGGCAATGAGGAAAATGTATTCAGAAACAGAAGAGTGATACGGTTCATACAGACAAGAATGGAAAAAGCAGGTTTAAAGCTGATGTATTGAACTTTTTGTACATTGCCACAGAAAGAGCATTGTAAAGACAAAATGATGTGGGCAAATCAGAAACGAGCATGTTGTTTCCATATTATTAGCGGTGAGCTGAGTGGATTGCACTTTCGCTTCTCAGTAAGAAGGGTTCAAATCCTGGTCGGAACAGGACCTTTCTGAGTGGAGTTTGCATGTTTCCTCCAGGTGCTCCGGTTTCCCCTACCACTAACATGTATAATAATAGGTGTGGCATGCACCTACCTCGCTCCCATCTCTGTGTAGAGTGAGAGACAAATGCCCCAAAAAAAACAAAACCAAAATGGTAAAGTGCTTGTGACTCTGGTCAGTGAAAGGCTCTATATAAATACTTACTTGAATATATTTTATATTTTGAAAACATGAGGCTGAGAGCTGGCTTCTTAAGGATAATCATCTCTACTTCATTTTTTCATCTGTGAGGCCTGATCTAAAGCCCCAAAAAATATGATCATAATTTCAGCTTTTTCCAGAAAGAGAATTAAACAACAAAAAGAAAGGACCACCCTCACTCAGCCAATCAGCTTCAGCCTGAAGTGTCCAATAGTGACTCACGGGCCTCTTTCTGACAAGTATACAAAAGATATACACTTTTGTGGTCTGATTTGTTCATAATATTTTACTTTTACAACCCTCTTTTTGTTGGGACAAATTTGGAATATTTAGGAAATGACAAATCTTAGGTATGTAGTTAAAAACCTACCTACACTTTTCACCTATAGCTGTGGAGTGTAATGACCTAGAGGAAAAAACACACCCAAGTGTTTAGAAGCGCTCCAGAGGTAGGTACGCATCATATCCTGTCCCAGGTCATCGGTCAGAGGCTGTAATTATAGACTGCTGTGTTGCCTGTCCCGCCCAATGCATAATTGTAACAACACCAAATAATGCAAATGTTTTTAGTTGAATTTACTGTAAAAACACTGTAGAAAATATTTTAAGAACCTTTGTGTGAACTCTCTGTGGGTCGGCCAATGAAACTAATTCAGCGTTCCATAAATTATATCTTCACGTTTTTCCTCATCCAAATGATTTCCTCTTGCACTCATGAGCACAATTATTTTTATTTGAAGTTGGATTTCTTTCTGAAGGGTGTTGGTGGGTAGCACTTGTGCAGGCTCCAGGTTGTGACGGCCAATTCACCCTGAGGAAATAAGGTCACTTGTCATGAGGCTGACATCGCACAGTGCCAGGGCGTGCTGTGTTTACCAACTTTCCCAACATCTCACCATCTGAAGAGGCCTTTTCCCCAGCTTATTGCATTTGGATGAGGTTCAGGGGTAGAAAAAATGTTGATGAAAATATATTCCTTCTGGCTTTAAAAGTGTCAGTCATGAAAGTAAAACTGAAAGAATTTCTAGTGGGTGTACATTTCACCATTACCATAATCCATAGGCCTATCTTATAACTGTCCCATGTAAATCTCCTTTGGCAAGAATGATCAAATGTGTCCAATTGGCACCGCACATACATTTGTAAACATGACGCTGGGGGAGATTGGCACGGTATGATATTGGGGTTGTTTAAACAAAGTGTATCTTATTTCTGCAGACAGTGCAATTAGATTCCTTACAAAGTGCAAACATAAATTGAATTTGACAACGAAGACTACAACCTAATTCTCTCTGAGCCTAAATTCTCACTGCACAAAAACACAAGAATTTCCACCTTAATTCCTTACACACAGCGACATACTCAGCATTAAACCTGCCTTGTGACCTAGTTTATGCCAAACGCTATTTGTATACTGCTCTACAATGATAGACTTGCTTTAGTCTATTATAATGTGATTCCCACACGCCCTCGGTGCACTGTGCTGTGACTTCAGAAGACTTATTTTGTCTGAAGTTTATTTTGACATCTACTACTACTAATAATAAAACATTGGTTTTAAACAGCGCTTTATTTGGACACTCAAAGACGCTTCACATGTCATTATTCTTTCACTCCAAACACGGTGGTGATAAACAACAACTGTAGCCACAGCTGCCCTGGGGCACACAGAAGCGAGGCCACCAGTATGTGCCATCGGCCCCTCCCACCACCACCAACCATTCACACACACATACCAGACTCATTCTAGCCAATGTGGGTGATGTGTCTTGCCTAAGGACACAACGGTAGTTTGGCACTTTACAGCCGCAGTCGACCTCTCCCGCCTTCCTTAAAGCTGCACTAACTGACTTTGGGATTTTGAAGCCGCGGACTCGCCGGCCTCTCTCTTTCTGCTCCCCTCCCCGCACCCACGAAGCTATCGCCCCCCACACACACACAGTGTTGAGACGGAGCTAGCGTCTCCCAATATGGATAATACATGGATATGGATTTGCACGTGGATGGTGTGACCATAGAACGATAGAACCGGGAAGCGCGGAGGAACGGGACTTTCTTTTGG